CCCCAAAACCCCAAAACCCCAAAACCCCAAAACCCCAAGTGGGAAATTTTGTATTGGATTGATATTGGACTATAAGAGGTCATAGTAAGCACTGTTGTAGGAGGAGATTTCTGAGAGGATTAGCTTTTTGACGTCTTCGAGAGTGAGATCAGCATTTCCTTCGAAGCTAAAGTCGATATCTCCTTCGAATACAGGCTCGTCATCTGGGTCGTGGAGGTTGGCAAGATAAGGATGCTTTAAAGCTTCATCTACGGTAATTCTTGTACTAGGGTTCAAGTCTAGAAGTTTATCGATTAAGTCTTGAGCATCAGAATTGTTGAAAGGTACCAACTCATCCATTGGAAGCTTATCCTTAGTACCAAGACTTTCAATATATTTCTTAGCGTTCTCATTAGAAATTGATTTCATAGTCTCTTCGTCTGGGGTACCTCTCTTATCAATAATAAGATTAACTTGTTCAATATAGTTCTCACCTGGGAATAGAACTTTACCATTGTTGATAATTTCTCCAAGAGTGCATCCAATGGACCATGTATCAACAGAGTTGGAATAGGAGTGGGAAGAGAGCATAATCTCTGGAGCTCTGTAGAATCTTGTGACCACATACTCAGTGAGATCCTCCTGCTTTTGAATAGACAAATTTCTTGAGAGTCCGAAATCGCTATAGATCTCAGTAAATAAATTTGATTATGAGATATTTAAATAGACTTACCAAAGCTTTAAGTCACAGCTTTCTGTCAATAAAATATTACTTGGCTTGAGATCTCTGTGGATAACCTTAGCAGAGTGGATAAACTTAAAGGCTCTCAAAATCTGATAAGTAAAGTAAGCAATGTGCTCATCTGTTAGCTCCTGTTTTGATCTCAAGACTCTGTTCAAATCGGTCTCCATGAGCTCTGTGACGAGATAAATGTCTCCCAAAATTTCATCCTCTTTGGACACATAGACTACATCAAGGAGACCAAGAATGTTCTCGTGCTTCAAGTTCTTCATGATAATGATCTCTCTAAGAACTCTCTTTGCATCAATCTAAAAAATTTGACTCGTATCTTAAAGAGAATGGTGGAAAAATTAAGAAAAGGACTTACAATATCTTCAATCTTTGACAATTTCTTAATAGCAACTCCTTTATCTTCCTCCTTATTGGTTGCTGATACAACTGCTCCATATGTTCCCTTGCCTATAGATGTGTTAGGGTCGGAAGCCAATGGGTAGGTCATTAAGATATGAACATTTCTAATAATTTCTGAAAGATGCTGTCTTTCAACAATGCTCAAAAGATTTTGTCAGCAATGTTTAATAGCTTAACGGTCTACAAATACCTAAAAGAGCCCTAATACTCGGAATTCATTAAACCCAAAGAGATATTTCCGAAAATTAAAGAAATTCCAATACTAGAATAGTTCTTGATTAACCCTCAAACAGAAATAGGTGGTTCTCAAAGCACTAATATATCAAATCTCTATTGCTTCAGAATGCTCTCTTTCACAAGCTTTTGCCCCTGCATCAGTATGCCAGAGCAACATCTTAGAGAACCAAAAAGGGGATCACCAAACTTTGTGAGCCCAAACAAGATCTTTTGGTTGTAGATTTGCACCCAAATTTCAAGCAGAAGAGTACACTTCTAATGTCTAAACCAATTACCTATCATCTTGATGGGTTCGTACTTTGGTGGCAACTCAAAGACATATCTAAGAATGATTTTATGAAGGCTTACCCGAATATTTCGTACTTCTGGTGATCCTCCATATCTGCTAACTTTATTTTATCAATCTCTTATTTTTACATTGGGGTTTTGGGGTTTTGGGGTTTTGGGGTTTTGGGG